CGAGCGTGGGCCTGGCCAACCCGCATTCGGGAATCCGGGGGTATCACAGAAAGTATGCTATTTTATGACATTATTTTCATTATATGCACTTTGATAGGGGGAGCATTTTTCAAGAGAAAAGACCACTGAATTGTATCATATGCCTTCCTCAAATCAATCTTCTAAGCCAACTTAGGTTTAGCAAATTTTGAACCAAAACCGTTCAATAATTCATGAGCCATAATAATGTTATCCTGTTTCTTCTTCCCTGAACAAAAGCTGTCTGCTCTTTACCAATAATCCTTCCCAAAACACATGCCAATCTATTAGACAGAATCTTTGCAATAACCCTATAGAATGTATTGCATAAGGAAATTCGTCGATAATCTCCAACCTTTAAAGCCTCTTTTTTCTTTTGAATCAATGTAATAAAAGTACTATTAATACCTCTTCCCATATCAGTGTGTTCAAAGAAAAAAATAATGGCATAAGAAATTGCTTAGCCATAATATTCCAAAATTTTTGAAAAAATCCTGCAGTGAAACCATTTGGACCAGGTGCTCGATCAGGTCCCATTGAAAAAACAATGTTTTTCACTTCCTCTCTGGATATAGGAGCTTCTAAACTCTCAACTTCCTCTGTACTTAGGGTGTGTTAGGTAGGGTTGATTTGGAGGGATAGGGAGATAAAAGAAAAGAGAGGATAGTGTAAGTTTGTGTTTGGGTAAGTTAAGTGGAGGGATAGGGAGAGATAGGGGGGGATAACTTCCCTCCTTATTTCTTATTTGCTTTCTCTTCAATTTTGAGAAGATAGGGAGAGAAAGTATAGTGATTTTAAGTAGTATTTTGATAATACCAAAATTAGCCTCCACAAATCAATATACAGATTTATTATTCCATTCAAGTCACATGGTTATGAAATGGTAAAAAAGTAATTTGTTTACTATCCTTTCTTTTCTTTTATTTTTTTCCCTATCTATTCAAATACTAATAAAAATTATTATTATCCTTTTTTTTCTTTTCTTTTCTTTTCTCTCATGACTAATATTATCATTTCTTTTCTTTTCTCCCCTATCTATCCAAACACACCATTAAAGTGTTTATGATAAATTTAACTTTAGGACTACACTGCACAGGTTGAACATTTGAAATACTGATGGCTTATTTTATCTCATTCTACATTTGAAACTCCTTCCACGTGCCTGAAATTAGCTTGATTTGAACTTCTTTCACGTGCCAATATTTCATTGGTAAAAAACATAAGGGTATAAACACAACATATATGTTGTTATTATTATTATTATTATTATTATTTTTATGTGTGTGCATGCACATGTATTAAGGTCAACTTTGTTATTCATAATAAGAATGGTGACCATCATTATTACAAAAGCTATGTCAATACGTCCATCTTGGTTTTGATGTAGCAACCATTTTATGGGGTTGTGAGGTGCTCTGTGGTTTTTTTTATTCTTTTAAAGGTATTGTCACGTGGCAGAAGTTACATGGCGTGACTATTTGATAAAATGGTGTTAGCGTTGTAATTGATTTGGCGGTGGTATGCGCTGGTTCATGATTTGTGTTGTCAATCCACGTGGCGTAATCCTAGAGCGTATGTTCGTGTAATGAAATACTTGAATAATCGATTGAATTGTCGCTTTTTTTTCACTATATAGTGAATATCACCGTGTGTATTGTACGTTTTGTCACTTTATTTATTGTTCCCTGTTCTACAAAAGTACTCGTCTTTACTTCGTCCGTTAAAAATAAACCAATCAATCAATAATGGATTGATTGCGTTTGAATAAGAATAATTTGGGTATTTGTTATACAATTACTATAAATTGAGTAAAACTAAGAAGTTGGACAATAATAATAGACAACACAATTAGAGATTGAGATTCTCAAATCAGTCTTCCCTTTGAAAAAAAAAAATTTCGACCTTTTTGTATGCTATTTTGTGAAATTTTATATTATGCACCCTAAAATTCTCCTGTCTCTTTTTTCCCTTCAATGTCTTTTTTATTCCTTCAATTTCTTCTTCTTTTTTTCTTTTTGACGTTTTGTTGTTTTGTTTTTGTTTCTCTCTTAAAATTTTTTTTGTGTAGTAACCTCTCTTTGGAGAGCGAAATTTTACATGATTTAAGACTACATGGTTCGGGCGAATCATATGCAGTCAGTAAGCAATTGTGTTAATATGTTTGCTTATATGACCGCATATGATTGGCTGAGATCATGTAATGATTTATCTCTCTTCTTTTTTTTTTTAATTAAATTTAGAATAAATTATATTTAACCCCCTTTGACTTGTAGTGCTTTACAAATGCTCTTTAAATTTTTTTTGGCAAACCATCCTCCCCCAACAAGGTTAATTTATATTTTCGTTACATGCATTATCATAATTTTAATAAATAAAAGCATTCAAAAAATATTTATAAAAAAAAGATAAAATTCTTAACATATGTCTAGCATAGTTAAATCATGAAATATCATTTTTCATCATTTTGTTTTTCAACCAAACAAAATGAGAGAAAAACTTGCTATTTTATGACACTCAATTACTTTTTGCAATTAAAGTTCATTTTTGTGTGTGACAAAATGTCCATTTCATAGAATTATACTATATATATATTTGCGTTGTATAAAATAAAAAATATAACAAATGTTATATATAATATATAATAGGAGTAAAATTTGAATTTATATACAGTTGCATTCATAATTATGAATTTTACTTTTTAAATAATTTTTTATAATTAAAAGTATGGTGCAACATATAACAAAAAGTAAAAAGTTCAAATATTATTATTAAAAATAAATAAATAAAAACTTTAGTTAAATTCTGTATTAGAATTGCAATTGTTGTTGGTACTTACATCGATGTGACTGAAAAAAACTCTTTAGTTCAATCAAAGCTACAGAGAATCATTTGCATGGATTGTCTAATCTGCTCTATCTTTCTAAATATCTTCTTTATTCTTGTTTTGGATAAATGCTTTCTCTTCTTAAATTTCAATTTTAGAAGATCTTCCCATCGCTACGTGGACGGCCACGATTGACAGAGACGACTGTAAGTGCCGACCACTTGTTTTAAAGATTCCGAAACTCCAAATGTCAAACGTCACCGCATTATTCATCCTTTTGCCAATTGGGGGTCTTGGACTAGATAGACTCAGCAGCAATATTGTGGAGTACATAATTAGAAAGAATGATTTAAGTAATTTAATTTAGAGAGAGAAATAATTTTCAGAGAGAGTTGATAAGATCGAGGAGAGGATAAGCACAAATGTCAGCATTTCTAAATATCCAAAAGCTTAAATTTCAAAAATAAATAATAAAATAATTGGGAAAGAGAGACGAGAAACCACCCATCGAGCGTCAAGACGGACCCACTAAATCACAGCAACTCGTGTATACTTTTCTCTTAGTTTTTTCTTATGTGGGACCCACCGTTTCAAATTTCTGGTAAGCTAGAAAAAGCTTTGTAACCGTTAATTTGTAGATCAGGGGCCTCAAATTCAAACTTGGGAATAAAAGGAGAAGTTCAACTTGAACACAAACAGACAATTAAAGATGTCTCAATCATCAATAATTTATTAAGTCACTTATCATTGAAGCAATATTAAGTTCGTGCCTTGAAATATAATTAGACTCCACATGCCCCTCACTATCTATAGTTTTACATTTACATGTCAAAAAATAAAAAAATATAAAAAAAATAGCCAGGGAAAAATAAACTTCTTACATTTACCATTCCGTTTGTTTTACTGTAAAATATTTTTCAAAATTTATTTTTCTCATTTTTCGGTGTTTGGAAGATTCTAAGGTTAGGAAATTATTTCCATGTAAATCACTTTATCCTGAATGACTGAAAATAATTTACCAAAAAAGTTTCTGTAAGTCATTTTTCATGAGCTACCTTGGATTATCTGTATACTTATTGAATCTTTATGTCTCTCTAAAAGCTAATCTTTTTCACTCCTCTCAATCTAATATGTATACATAGAAAGAGAGAAGAGAGAAAGAGAGACACAAATTTGAGTTGGACGGGGAACAGATTTGGGTCGAGAATATGTTATAGGATAGAGAAAATAACTAGAAGGATAGGAAGGGATAGTTTAGCATAGAGAGAGAAAGTACGGAGGAGAGAGAGTGGGATGGTTTAGGAGATATTATTCCCTACTGGTGAGGAACAACGAAGAAAAGAGAGTGAGAGAGTTAATTGTGTGTACTATTCCTTGTTATGAAGAACACTGAAGAAAAATAGTTAATTGTGCACAAAAGCTGATTTAGAAAATATTTTATAAACTGTTGGCAAATACGGAAAAATAAAAAATAAAATAATATTTTACATAAAAATATTTTGTTTTTGAAATATTTTACAAGGAACATTTTATGTCTAAATAAACAGAGAAAAACGAGCACATTCATTTTGTACAAATAACATAAAAAATTAAGGGTATACTTGATAATATATTTTTATTTTATAAGAATTAAAAATTAAAAAATTGAACAATAATCTACTTAATAGACATTTTATAAAATATATAATTTGAAAACTCACGTGAGGAAGTTCATACGGGCTATTTATATGCCACAGGACAAATAGATGGAATTAATAATGTAGATTCAGAAATAACAGAGTTGAAAATTGCAGGGTTTAATACTCAAAACAATAAATGAAAGCCCTTTTTTTATTCTTATTTAATTTCAGTAATAATTATAAATGAAAGCCCTTTTTTATTTTATTTAATTTAAGTAATAATTGAAAGCCCTTTTTCTTCTCCGGGTAATTTAATCACAACTTCAGAAGGCCATCTAGAAAGATGGACTGCAACCGTCTTTGACATGGAAGAAGTCTTATTTACACATTTATGGGGTCAAAGACTTGAAATTCTCTTAAGCGCGTCTTCATTTTGTCCAACTGGATCTATATATATATACACACACATGTGTGTGTGCGTGTAGTGTATATAAGAGAGAGAGAGAGAGAGAGAGAGAGAGAGAGAGAGATTTCATTTTATTTGAAAACAAAAGGGTAGTTTTGGAACTTCAATTATTGCTTCTTTTATTTAAAGTTCAAGACAACAGGGAGGGGTAGAAAGAAACAAAGAGCTAGAAAGAGAAAGAGAAAGAGAGAGAGAGAGAAACAGAATTTTGAAGAAAGATGGGTGATGTTGTATTGTTTGTGGAGGATTTGAAATCAGCTTCTTCAATCAGCTTTTGCAGAATCTGTCACGAAGAAGAGTTTGGGAGCTGCAATAGCTTGGAAGCTCCCTGCGCTTGTTCTGGAACTGTCAAGGTATATATATATATATATATACACATACACACACACACAAATATATAGCAAGAAGATCAAAATTATTTTGATTTCAAAATTTTTATTTTATGACAGTTTGATTTTATGTCTTGGTTTATTTCTTGCTTGTTTTGCAGTTTGCACACAGAGATTGTATACAGAGGTGGTGTAATGAAAAGGGCAACACTATTTGTGAAATTTGCTTACAGGTTTGAATTTAGAGGCTACATATATATATATATATATAATCTTGGGTTCCTCTGTTTTGATTTTCTGATTTTAATTTCAATTTCTTAAAAAACCCTTTTATCTTTTAATTTTAACATCAATTCTTATTGCTGGAGTTGACCACTTAAAATTACTCACACACTCTCTCTCTCTCTCTCTCTGTTTTTATCCTGTTTGGCTGCTGGCAATATTACAGTAGGAAACTGCTTCTCAAGGTTAATTCTATATATATATATATATATATATATATATATAAATATAATTATGTAAATGTTTCTTGTAGCTATTGAGGTAGAGAAACTCGTTTTGGTCTCTTTGTCTTTTTTTGGATAGGGAGAGAAAGTCTACTATATTGCAAGATTGGTATATTTATATTCTTAATTTCTTGTATACTCTTCTGTTCAGTGACAATAATTTTAAGCTACGCAATTCTTTTTTTTAATTTTTTTTTTTTTGGGTTATATAAATATATATATAGTTTTCATTTGTTTAGATATATATATTTTTATATACTGAGTTATATGTATATTTTATTATTATTTGTTATTTATAAAAACGTTTGTAATGTTGCAGAAATTTGAACAAGGGTATACAGCTCCTCCTAAAAAGCCCCAATTGGTTGTTGATACAGCAGTAACCATAAGGTATTCTACCATCAAATATATTTGTCACAGATATATATATATATATATATATATATATATACAATATGATAATTGAATGAGTTTCATGCACTAAATTAATTATTTAACAAATACGATTAATTTTTATGCGATATTTGAATTTTATAGCGAGCATTTGGTCTAATCGAGTCAATTCTGCCCTATTTATGTGGGACCCGCGTAGATTCCACATGTTCAGCTGGTTATTTCTATTTATCTATTTATGTAGATAACATCGTTCTATATGAAACACATAAAATAAATAAATAATGTTATTTACTTAAACGCACATTGTTAGATAACTAATATATATATATATTTCAAATGATACTAATAGTCTAATATACATTGTACAGAGGAAGCTTGGAAGTTCCAAGGAGAGAGAGAAGGACACAAAATGGAGGAGTGGCGGCCATGGCAGAAGGACGACAGAGGGTAGAAGAAACCGAAAACTCCGAATGCTCGTCGCCGGCTGATACAAATACGGCCTCTTGGTGCAGAACAGTGGCTCTCATTGTAAGTATTAATGAATGGAGTTACAATTAAATCAAGCTGTTCATAATCAATTCAGATTCCACTAATATATAGTATATATATATATATATATATATATATATATATTTGCAGTTTACAGCTGTTCTGTTAGTGAGACATCTGCTTGCTGTACTTAGTGGGGAAACAGAGGATTATCCATTTACACTTTTTACTGTAAGTGAGACATGATGCCAAGGCCTTATTTATTTTCTTTTTACAAAAAAACTGATATATATATATATATATATGGCAATTAAGTCACAATAAAATCTGGTGAATCTAACTAACTGAATTAAAAACTCTTGATTTGGTATGAATTTTGTAGATGCTTATTTTAAGGATGAGTGGAATTCTTCTTCCAATGTACATATTGGTTCGGACTATCACTGCCATTCAAAACAGTATCAGCCGTCACTATCAGGTACATGTGTGTGTGTATATATATATATATATACACACACACATATATAATTCTCTATATGCGTATTACTATATTAGTATAGTAGTGTGTACATGTATATTAATGTTTATACTTCAACTAAGGCATTTGTGTTTGTGTAGGAGTGTGATGATGAAGAGTCCAACTCTGATGAAGAAGAGGACGAGCAGCAGCAGCATCACACAGTTGAAATGCACTCACAACATATTTTTTCCTCACAATAGAGCTTCTAAATTGTATTATTATTATTATTACTATTATTATCAATAATTATTATTATTAATTTATTAATTAATTAGAGCATTACATCAATGCTCATCTGTTTCAAGGTTCCCCCTTTTTTGTTGGGGACCCACTGTATACAAGTCTACTGAGTAAAATATTTAAACTTTTATAGCTTCATTTAATTCTTCCAAATAAATTATCACAGGCTTCATTCCAAAATTCTGAAACAAAATTAATATAAATTATACCATACTTTTTACTGGTCACTTGGTCAGTAAAAGTAAGAAAACGTAATCTACAAAATGTTTTAGCACAGAGGTGCTTGAAAACAGAAATAGAAAATTACACTATTTTATTATAAAGTTCATGGTACAATACAGGTAATTATACTGCATCAGAGAGGTCACGTCCAACGCAATACAACCGTGTTGTACTGAATCTTAATGTGTTAAATTGCAGCAATATTATAAAGAGCAACACTATATAGATGGACAAAATAAGGCCAACTTCCTAGGACAACTCAATTATAACAGTTGGACACGCCGCACACGAGCGTTTTATTGTTCAAAATATTTTCTTTCCCTCCTATATATATATATATATATAAAGTCAACCAATTGAACAACACAAGTGAAGAAAATTCTTTCTCCTATATATATATATTCAATACTTTTTAAAAAAAAAAATTTATTTTATATATATATATATATTAAGCAAATTGGTACAACAGTTTGGCATGAGCATTGGTTGGAACTTCAAAGCAGGTAACTGGAAACGTAGATTAAGGAAACAAAAAGGGCACCTTGCAACCAAAGCATTATATATCAAAATGTGTAACAAGTACTGAATATGTCCACCCAACAAACAAAGGTATGAGATTCTGGTGGTGAGGTTAGCTTCAGATGTTGTTGTACTTCTCCTATCTATATAACAGCAGCGTGGGCTCTCTCACAGCTAGAATTTGTATTCCCTCCAAGTAAAATAAAAAATGAAAGTGATGTTTCATCAGCATTGTTACCAACAGCTTGGTACTTTGAACTAAAGGTACTGAACTTGCCCGAGAAATAGGGTTCTGAAAACACAATGTCACTGTCAAAACACTATCCATGAACCTAAAACATTCAGGTGTTGGGTACACACACACACAAGTTTATAACCCCATCCTATGCTCTCCACAAACTCATGGTAATAACTCAAATTTGCTGCCATCTCAATCACATCTTCATGACCATGATCTGCGGTTCCCAACTCCGTAAGAAACTACTATCATGTAGAAGTTATTGGACAACCTGAGATACCATGTCACCAGAGTGAGGATGAGATAACCCATCTGTGGTGAGATAACACATCCAATCACATAATGCCATCCGATGGTATCCAACAATTTCTCCAAGGTCAATATCAGTGCCAGGAAGTGATCTTACAATAAAGATGGAAACATACCGCCTGATCAGTATTATATTGTATCAAAACTTTACAAACTTTGGACAAGGTTTTTCGGTTCTTAGCACCTTGAGGAGCAGGGGTCACGGGATGGTTTTGATAGTTATAACTACTCATCACTGCCAACGTAAAATGTAAATAAAAAGATATTTTATAATTTGGACATTGTTCTATAAAACCAGTCCGATAGGCGCTTCATCTTCATTGCATATTCTGCATTTTCCCCAAAGTAAGCTTGTACATTGGACAGCATTACCATCATGTCATGCTCCATTGCTTTCAAGCTCCGATAGTAGTCGTTTTCTAACCTTAGCTTGATTACTTCGGGAGACAATGGAACTGGAAACCTGCAAGAATTCAGTGCGGCCCATTAATCAAACTTAATTCACTTCAGGAGATAATGGATTGCAATGAATTAACTACAAGTAAAACACAATTCATTCCAATCCTAGAGTTGGAAGCAAGCATGTACTTGTGCAGTTAACAATATGTCTCGCATGCTCTAGAGTAGTACATAACCACATTCAGCTATGCACCAAGGTCTTATAAATATATAAATTTCATTTTTGTTTCAGAAACCTTCGGGCAAGACAATTTTAGAAGGCAATGCGCAATTTACTCCAAGCTACCAATCAGAAGGTGGACAAATATTCTGAATAGATTAATGTTAATAACAATTAATTAGTTGACTTTGTCAGATAGCACATTGACAACCTCCTCATCAATTCTTATCTTTCACTGAGCTTTCTAATTGGTTCTTGAGATGTTCTAAGGGCAGGTCCATGAAGGCAAAGTTTATAAGGAGCTTCTCTTCTACTGTTTTGTGGAGCATTTGGCAAGAGGACTGCTAGACTGCATGATAGTGAACAAAGGACAGCTTTGCAGATTGTTGTTGGAGCTTCTTTGGATGATTCTATTGCTCTGCATATGAACCTAGATGTTTTGAGTGCTTTATTTTGATGTTGTTTCTCCTTGGTATGTTATTTTCGTTCTTCATTTGCTTTTGAATTGGAAATGGCATTACTCAAGTCATTTCTTTTCTTTCTTGTGTAACAAGGGAATGCCCTCCAATCTTTCCATGTACTTATTAATGTTTTATTATCACTCAGGGAAAAAAATTTGATGTGTTGAGGGATTTTGCTCTAGGAGGTGGAGACATGTAATGGAATATCCAATAGACCCCGTCCATATGAGAGTGGGGCAGCCCAAATAGAGGTGAAGCAAGAATGTTGATGGCAAGAGCTCTATCCAAATGGTCGTGAATATGGTGAATTCAAACTCAAGGTGGCAATGGCAATTGGATTTGCCAAAGCACTATCCTGCTCCTGTTGCTTAGACCATGACTTGAAACAGGGAGCAAACTCAGCTTTTCCCAAACTCTAGCTGCTGGTTACCTAATATATCAATCCTAGTGACCAATGCAGAACCATGTAATTCTTTAGCCCAAACACTCACTGAGTGATGCAGGAGCATCAGTGGCATCCAAGGGTGCTTCGAAAGATGATTTGGATCCATTTGATCAATTAAACCAACTTATGATTTATTTCTTCTTAAGTTTATTCTTGTATTATGTTATGTGGTTCCTATTCTTTATTCAGAATCATGTGCTAGTCATGTACGATTTCACTCATACTTATGGTCTTGTCTTTAAAACAACCGATTCCAAGCCTGAAAAAGGGTGGGTTGCATTAGATAGGCCACAACCATCATATAACCTTTATTGGACCCCTATAAACATGAATTTTGTATATAGTTTGACCATGTACAACGAAGATGAATAACTGTCCAGAAGTGAATGAGAGAGAAACGATCTACATTAGGGTAATGCTATGGAAAAGGAAAGATTAAAACTAACATGAGTAAAATAAAAATGAAATAGATGATAGCCTGAGGTATAAAATTTTGGTCTTAGATTTAACAGAATGAAAAAAAGGACTCGAGAGAGAACTCCAGAATGTTGGAAAAAGATTTATTAAGTTGAGTTAACTTGAGTTATGATAGTCATGTGTCTTTTGAAAATCATTTAGCCTATGTTAGTCAAGTGAGTCATTGAGAAGGGGTAATAAGGTCCTTTCATTAACTAGTGCAACAATAGGCTCTTCTCCATTATAAATTATCTCCTAAACTGATGAATGGATGACATCTCGTTATATCTCAAGTTTGAATCAGTTCATTAGAGAGGAGATGGAATCATTCATCTATTCAATATTGAAGATACTAGACAATATGCCGTAATTGCAGAGGCTTGGCATTATGATGTCAAGAAACCTATTGCAGGGTGATTGTGGTGCAACTCAAAGAAATACAGGTCATGTTTTCCATCTCTGAAGTCATAAACATGCCATAGAGCTCAATGTAGGAGTACCACAAGTCAAGAAAGTGGTAGAAGCAAGGTTCAATAAAGGTGAAAAGGGAAAAGAAATAGCATGATGTGGAATTCAAAATAGTACCGGCAGAAGCTCCAGAAGAATGGACAGCAGGCCAGTGGCTCTGTATTGCAATGTTCCACTTGTGGAGAAAGTGGACATGGATCATATAAATGTCCACAGCAAAAGGTGAACTTCGCTAAACTAAAAGATGAAAAGGAAATTCTAAAACAAACTGATGACCAATTTGATGATGAAGAGGAGAATGCGGATATCTTATGACAAAGAAATGGTCTATTGCACAAAACCCCGATGAGAACATGTTTCAGAAGGTAAGAAGTTAATGTTGCAGCCTCTAAGGGATCCCAATCCCAGCAACTTTAATGGCTGTCAGACACCTAAAAGTTTGAAGCAGAAAGTAAAGAGGTGGGAATTATTTATTTATTGGTAGGTGGATAAATGAGTTAGCACCTGAAAAATTAGCAACTATAGATCTCCAAGAGTTCATTAATGAAGAATTGTCGAGGTGTGTACCACCACCACTAAGAAATTATAGTTAACTGGTGTTGCATGTGTAAGAAGACGGGCGAATCAGTTAATCATCTCTTGTTGCACTGCAAAGTGGCAGTGGATGTTTGGAGTATGGTCCTGAATGTTTTTGGGGTAGATTGGGTTGTGTCAAGGACCACGATGGATATGTTAGAGGCTTGGAGAGGGAGACCAGTGGGCAGCCGTGTTAGAAAAGCTTGGATGGTAACCCCTCTTTGTGTATGGTGGGGGTTGTGGCACGAGCGGAATAGGAGATCTTTTGATGGAAAGGAGTCACCAGCGAGGGTTATTAAGTCGAATATTTTGCATTCTCTTTATTTTTGGGTTATTGGGAAAAATTGTTCATCTTTGGACAGTTTTTTGGATTTTGTTGACAACTTATCGTTGTAATGGCGCCTTTGGCGTCTTTTGTTTGCTTTTGTTAAGGGTTCGCTCCCCTTTGAGCGCCTTTGTTAATATATGTTTACTTATCAAAAAAAAAAAAAACAAAAGAAATGTCCGATATGCCAATAATTTAGTACCAAGAGCATCTTTCTGAAAAATATTGCCAAAAACCGCATGCCTCCAGCACAAGAAGCCCAGATGAAAAAAAAAAAAAAAAAAAAATGAAAAGAGCTAGAGCTAGTAGTGAAATGGCTAATGCAAGAGAGTTAAAACCAATGTGTCGTTCCGGCATTATGACATGAAGAGGAATGGTCATGAAAGATGCAAGTGGATAACCATGTAATAGAGTTACAGTCCGGTACAGGTTTCTACTTTCTAGTTCCCAAGTTGAGGACATGTTGGACATGCTGGTCGGATCAAAAGTCTTCTCTAAATTAATTTATTGATTGTGAGCATTGATACTCACTTAGCCCATTGATGACATCAATAATTGATTGATTATTAATTATCCATATCACAAGGTCTATCATAACTACACAAAGGTTGCTACAGTTTCGGGAAGCCAAAATGCACCATTGGGCTCCAAGGATGTCTGGCTGCAGACAGATTTCAAGCAGCAAATTCTTCATGGAATATCTCCTTAGGAACCCCTCATCTTTGTTTAAAACAGGCAAGTTACCCAACTAGTCAAAGGACCTTGTACAAGGGCATATTTAATGGGAGCCCTCCATGTCTCATAACAGCACCTCCATGACCATTCTGAGGGTTATCTCATGATGATCATAAAGGAAACAGCCAGGCCAGGAGCAGGACTTAAGGGCACCCCATATATTGCCTGATGCACAACTGATTCACCATCAACCCCTTGAAGTATGGAGAAATGACACAGCCAAAGGATACATGGCTGATTCGTCAGGCCTCATGATGCGCGGTCATGACACAGCTCTCTGGACAGTAAAGCTAGTAAAGGAAGTGGTTTGGTTGCTAAAAATCAAAGTACACTCTCATAGAAGGGCATTGTTCAATCTATCTTCTAGAGAGAGACATTCCAAACATCTTTATTCACAGAAGGTTACCAAGGACATAAAGACCTCTGGTATTCAAAACCTGTGGTCGGGTTAGCATGAGGCTACCACCACTGTGGGTCAAGGGTATTAGAGAGTCGTTATATTTTAAAGTTGATATATTTTATATATTTTTAGGGTAAGGGTAGCTTTGTCTTTTCCTTTAATTTTAGTTAGTTTATTATTATTACTTTATTCTCTTCTTTGTAATACGTCATTGTGTAATTTACAATAGAGTATTCTTCTTCTTTACTGGTCGTACAAATCTTTTCATGGCATCAGAGCAGTGACGACCTCGGCAATCAAAGCAGTGGCAATCGCATCTAATCATATCAACTTTGTTTGCAATTTCTCAGCATCTTTCTCATTCTCTCAGGCTTATCAACTTCGCATCAGCAGTAACCCTAAATTGGCAATAGAAATTTCACTTCTGCTTCAACTTTGCATTACACAATCGCATCATATCATCTGGTGTCATAGTAGCTTCCGCTGTTTGCATCGTATCATCAATTCTGGCCCTAGACTTCATCACAAAGCATTGCATGAATTCGTCTTCAGTTCTCTTCATTGCAAAGCACAGAAGGTCCCTTCAATCGAAAACCCTAATTTTGTAGCATCTCTCAATTGCACCTGTCACACCAGTCATACAAGTCAGCAGGCTGTTCTTCTGTTTGCGCTAAATGTAATTTCTGTTCACATCACAATGGGACCTTAGCATCTTACAGAATTGTACTTTGGAACAGTAGGGAACTTTGGGACTTTGTTTCACATCGCATTGCAATATAGCGCCAAGCAGAACATAGCCTCAATTGCAAACCCTGGTTTCTCTGTTTGCAGCAACTATCTCATCACACACACCATCTGTATGCTCTTTGTTCACAACCACTCTCTCTCTATTTGTGGTGAACCAGACGTCCAACGAACACGCAATCTTCTGAAATTACAATTGCATTGCTGAATTGAGCCATCAAAATCACATCTCTG